GAAGAGCCTAAACGTTGATGTGCAAAATGAGGGTTCTTACAGTGCCTTGCATTGCCGGCGAGCAGCAAGGCCCAGGGAAGGCCTGTAACATGATCTGAGGCAAGAGGTCCTTTGGCAAAAGGTGCCATGCAGAAGATGCTGATCTGCTGATCTGACTTGGCTCTCCTTCAGCTGGCCTCTCCCCCTCCTCCCTTTCATCCTTCTGACTCGCCTTTGCTGTGTGGGGCAGAATGGAGGCTGGAAGCTTTGTGGGGCAGAGCGCTTGCCCTGACTTGTCTTTATTTTGTGAGGGGGTCTAGCACATTTCTGGGCACGTGGAATTAATAAAAGAATAATAATTTCTAAAGACAGGTTGAACTTCTCTAGTCCAGACCTCTCTGGTCCGGAAACATCCGTGGTCCAGCGTGATTTGAGCGAGCCAGATGTCCACTTTTCATGTGTGTGGCCAAGCTTCCCGCGGTCCTATAAAGTTTGACAGCCCCCAGTCCTGGCTCTCAGTGTTCTGGGCTGTGATTTAGCTCCAATTGACCCCTTACGTCTAGGCACCCTAGGGACCTGACTGGTTCCCAACCAGAGACATTTCTGGACCATGGGAGGCCGAGATTGTCTAGCAGCATGACCAACACTTCCCCTGCTTGCTGGGCTCTTAGAAGACACTAAGGGTGTGTCTAAACTACATGGCTCCGTTGATGGAGCCATGTAGATTAGGCTGATCGGCAGAGGGAAATGAAGCCGCGATTTAAATAATCGCGGCTTCATTTAAATTTAAACGGCTGCCGCGCTGAGCCGACAAACAGCTGATCAGCTGTTTGTCGGCTCAGCGCGGCAGCCGTTTAAATTTAAATGAAGCCGCGATTATTTAAATCGCGGCTTCATTTCCCTCTGCCGATCAGCCTAATCTACATGGCTCCATCAACGGAGCCATGTAGTTTAGACACACCCTTAGTGTCTTCTAAGAGCCCAGCAAGCAGGGGAAGTGTTGGTCATGCTGCTAGACAATCTCGGCCTCCCATGGTCCAGAAATGTCTCTGGTTGGGAACCAGTCAGGTCCCTAGGGTGCCGGATGAGAGAGGTTCAACCAGTAGATGCTTTGGTCAAAGTGTTCCCAGCAGTCATCTGCCGCTCCTATAACCCCTTTCTTTTCCGAGACGCTTTGCCTCACTCCTACCAGCCAGAGAACCGCCAAGATGGTCCTGCTCAAACAGTCCAGCCTAACTAGCCCTGGCAGACAGCCCCCCCTCTTCTGCAACTTTGTTCGGAGACAACCCTCCTTATGAATCAAGGAAGGAGGAGAGGAGAGAAAGAATGAAACAGCTCCAAGCAGCAATGTGTCTAATCTAAACAATGCTTTCCACGATTTCCCAGCAGGCATTAATGGGTCTTTCAGGACATTTCAGGACCAAAGTTCTTCAAGGAAGCTTTCTGTTGTCTGTTATGGTGCCCTGGCTATTCTGCGGACGAAGTAGCCGTCTCCTCCTTCCGAAGCTGGACGTGAAGTCACCATGCTGCATTCGTAATATCGGCATCATCTCCTTCTCCCTGGGACGCGGGGAAAAGCCGGAGTGGGGCAGGAGGAAACGCCCCCTGCAGGGCAGATGGAGGCTCTACTCCCGCGGTTTTCAAACTTTTTTTCCCTAAACCCAGTTGAAGAAAATGGCTGATGCCGCGACCCAACATCGTTTGACTGGAGAATGGGCTCCGGGGTGGGCTGAGGAGGAGCTTTGGGGTGTAGGAGGGGGCTTCGGCTTGGGGGGGGCAGGGCTGGGGCAGGAGGGGGTTACCTTGAGCGGCTCCCGGTCAGCGGTGCAGCGGGGGGGCGAAGGGGGGGCCCTGCCTCTCCTGGCACCATGCACCAGGCTGCGCCCAGGAGCAGCCGGCAGCAGGCTCTCAGCCCATG